TATGATGGGAAAAGCACGGCCAGAGTATATATATATAGAAAAACTTAGATGATGCCAGCACACCTCATCTGGTTCACAGCTATAGTATAACAATGTTATGTGCTTTACTTCAGTTGCTGCGGCATCTATTAGAGATGGCGAATTTTTCATCAACAGGCTGTTCCTGTTCACCTCAAAAAACAGGCTGTTCCTGTTTTGGAATGCTACGAATTCCTAATTGTTTAATCTCCACTCCTCAGAACTGCACATTTACACTACCTACTAACTCACTGAAATTGTCAATTGCTCAGGTCTAGTGGGCTACTTTAGGTGTGAAAAGGCATATAGTTGCAGTCACTGCAATCATTACGTTCATTTTTCTTAGATGACAATTGACACCTACAAAACTTGTGTACTCAGACTTTTATAACTTCGACTAAAATTTTGGAAATGTTTAGATTCACACAACGTTATGTTATATTTATCATGAAAAGTACTTTCGTGTTGCTAAGTTGTTACAAATTTTACTGTCAAATACTAGCAGCTGGAAAAGTAACAGGCAGAGGTTCATGTTGGAGACCCTGTTGATGCCCAAAATGACACGTGAAAGATGAGGTGGTTCCTTTGAAAGGAATATTGAAGGCTGAAGCATATTAACTTTAAACAGCAGTACCAAAGAAAACTCACAGATACTTATGTAGCAGAATGGCCAAATCCGAACATTGTTATATGCTTGTGGGGGTGAGGGGTTAGCTACAAGTAACCATCTATCAATCTATCTTCACCTTTCAGTAAAGACAAAACATCTTGCAGAAAAACAACTTCTTTTATTTCCCCTTTTGTTAAGTGTCTCAAGTGATTGTATTGTTGACTCCATTTGTGAAGTGGCTCCTGTATCTCCCTGAGCATCTATTCATATCTTCATATGGTCTGTTGCCTTCTCGTTGTAATCCTTATCTTTTTGCAGGGTTTTACAGGTTTGTGTTGGTGGAATGTGCTTGCAATGGAGATTGAAGAACACACAGCTTCACTTTCAGGAGAGAATCCCATCACAAGGCTCCCACCAGATATCATTGAGGGGATACTTCTCAGGCTTCCCGTAAGCTCTCTACTGAGGCTACGTCGAGTCTGCAAGCAATGGTGGAACATGATCAGCGTCCCTCGCTTCATCAAAGAGCATGCCTATCGTGCACCCAAGCACCTCCTCCTTTACTTGCCTAAATTGAGTATATCTGCATCCCTCCATCCCAAGATTGACAAACCATGCCATGCAACGGTCATTGATGAAAAGTGGTCTCCATCAACATGGGCTGCATCACATATGGACCCTGATGATCACCTCTTTGCATCATGCAATGGCTTGCTTTGCTTCTACAAAACATACACACTCAAGATATCTAACCCTGCAACAGGTCAATGCCTGCATCTCTTGAAACCTGATGGGATATTGTTGCATGACTTCCACTATCTATACAGCTTTGGATTTCATCCGATTACTGGAGAATACAAGCTTGTGCACTTTCTCCGTGAGCCCCAGCGCTATAAATCAGGACAGCCTTTCCATTTTGACATCATTCAAGTGTACACCCTTGGTGAAGACAAATGGAGAGCTATCAAAGCTCCTGTACCATGCTGCATGGTGCATCTTGGAGTTGTAAATGTGGATGGAGCGATGTATTGGCTAACAGAAGATGAAGGAACAAGCTGCGGCATGGCAGTTGTATCATTTGATCTCAGGGAAGAAATGTTTGCATTGATTCAACTTCCAGCATTGGAAGTGAAAGAGACAGCCTCTTGTGCCACCCCCAAAGTTGCTTACTATATGACTGAGATAGATGACAAGGTGTGTGTAGTGACTATGTCATACCAAAGCCATGCACCGAGGTGGCGCCGATACAACGCAGAGCTTTCTGGTAGGACTGACATTTGGGCTCTTGAAAGTGACAAGTGGTTCCTGAAATATAGCATCCAGTCACCATCTCTATCCCGGTATGTTCCTCAGCCATGCTTCGTCCACAGGGAGAAGATCATACTGCAGGACCGTGACAGTAATGTGTGGTACCATGATTTGCGAGGCAAGACTCTGCAGATTGAGCATGGAGAGGAGGTGAAGCTTTTGCACCTTGGTGACTACAGATTCTATGAGACGCAGTCCTATTTCTACAAGGAGACACTTGCTCCCTTGAGCATTTATGCCAGAGCAGCCATTGTTTGTGCACCCCCTGTGCCTCTTGCTCCTTCAGTTGCTTCAAATTAGTTTCTACGAGGCTCTTGCACTCTGAAGTTTTGGCAGCAAGTACTGACGAATGGTTTAATATGGAGAGTGGGTAATGGGGATCGCACACATATGGAATGATCCCTGGTTTCGTAGAGAGTGGACTTGCCATCCACGCCAAGGGGTGCAAATCTCATGAACTGAGTAATTGAGATGATTGACCCATGCACAGGCAATTGGAACGAGACACTAAAGATGTGAATGAATCTTATTAATCCCAGTTCATATGGAGATGGATGATGTGGCAGCCTGGTGCTATGGGGTCTTTTCTTGATGAAATCAGCCTACATAGTTCAGGAGGCGTTTGAAAAAAAAAAGGAAAAGCAAGTATGTAGCTCATTCATCTTCACCGGGGGCTTTGATCGATAAGGATTCAAGAGTGTTGGAAGAAGATTTGGAGCATGAGTTTCCCGGGGTCCGGGGAAGATAAAAAAAATTCCCTGCCATTACGAATGATGCTGAAGAAAAGAGGGATGGAGTTGGACACAAAATGTGTTATCTGTCAGTGGGGTAGATGAAGGAGGACACCTCGTTTCTAAGCATAAAGAACTAAAGGAGTGGTAGTGCCAGCTGAATTTGTAGGAAGCTCGCTGCATGCTTGCACGCAAGTCTCAGCGTGGGGTTTGATGAAGGAGATACTTGAGATGGAATGGAAAGCTCAGGTCGCAATGGCTGCCGAGAAGGTGAGAGGAGGTAAGCAAACGACCTAGCTTACATTGTGATGAAACAGGCAGATGAGTTCTCATTCCCCCTCTCTCTCTCTGTCTCTGTCTCTCTCTCTCTCATAAAAAAAGGTTTGTCAGCATATGTACTGAGTTAGGCCTCGTTCGGCAGCTGGGGAACCAATCCAGGCCTGGAATTAGTTGATCCCCTTGCTGTCATTCATTCCCTGGACAGGTTTAATTCCCTAGCAGAACCAATCCCCTTGCTCCTATTTGTTGTTCGGCTAGCCAGGGATGAATCCAGGGCTGAGAATCTGATGCGTATACATGTCCAGATGTTTAACTGACAAAAGTGTATCAGAGGCAGCTGCAAGTCTGCGACCAGCTTAAATTCGGGTGATAAGGAATACAAAAGTGCATTAGCAGCAACATACTCTTACAACAGTTACAGTCGATAGTTCCCAAGAATTTATACGATCCATATCACTGATCATCTAACAAACAAAAATCAAGGTATTGAAACTTTGAAAGGGGTCTTCTACTTGCCGTATCTTGTAGTAATCTCTTGTTTCTACAAGATCACATCTGGCACAAATCTTAGATTAGATCTCTGAATGTTTAAAATGCAAGGGTTCTACGCAGCAACTTGATAGAAACACAAACGTTCTGGGCACCTTGTACTACCTCAGTATCCTTAGGTTCTCCAAAACCTGAAACGAAAATGTTGGACATTATGATATAGCAATCGCCGACCAATAGAAAGAGGTGAGAGGGAGGTGCAAACAAACTATTAGTTTGGTAAAAATAAGAAATATGTACAGATGGCAAAAATACATATAATTCTCCATCTTTTTGAAAAAAACGTGCTACGGCACGGTCGTGAAAAAAAATACAATGCATTTCTGAAATGGAACAGCTTGGAATTTGATTCTGAAATGCATTTCCTACTGGGACAGTTAGAATGACATGCAGCTATCAATGCCAACTTACATGTGTTGGCTCTTCATTTTTCAAATGCAAACAGAACAAAACTGAAGATATTCTATGTGCACAGAGAAAATGTGCAATTGTTTATGTCACACATCACGCTGAGTAATTTTTTCGAACTATGAACAGAATATTCCTTGCATTTCTATTGATCTAAAGAACTTCCCTAGATAGGAGGCCAAAAATTAAAGACAAAAGCATATCTGTTGCTGGCTATCATGTGCAGTTTGAGAATAAATATGCGAGTTGGACTATCATGTGCAGATTGAGACAATAGCTGCATCACAGCATTGTATCCATTCTACCAGCTATCAAAAAGACAAATTGATGCAGAACCCCTTCAGCCCCACGCAAGGTCACACACACAAGCGCGCACGCACGCACACACAACCAAGTGAGATCAGTCTTTTCTTTAAGTCTACACTTCATTAAGGGACTGAATAAACAGTACTGCACCTATCTACTAAAAAATTAGCCAAGTAGGCCTTGCCTACTATACAGATGAGTTGTGTTCTTCTAAATACTACAATTCTGGTTGAAAAGTGATCAAGGATTTACGATGAGTTGAGTATCCAAATATGCTTCAAACTGTTGTTTGACTCTAATAAATATAAATAGTATGGTGAAGGGCGGGCCTGCTGCAAGGCAGGGACTTACCGCCGGTGACCGATCACCCGCGCGGCCACGTCGCCCGTCACTGCTCCGCGATACTGTAGCGTTAGGTTTCCTTATTTTTTCCTCCCTTTCCCTGGATTTCCTTTTTTTTTCCCTTCCTTTCCCTGATTGCCCTTATTTCTGCCCGCCCGCCACCCGCGACGCCGCGACTTCCACCCGCGCCTTCTAGGACCCTCGCGGAACGGAAGCAGCAGAAAACAACCCCTCGGCCCTCACTGCCGCCCCCACCTGCCCTACGCGCCGCCCCTCGCGAGGAAGCCCGGCCGAGCGGCCACCGTGCCCCCTTCACCCTCCCCGACGTCGCGACGCCGCCGAAGCCACGATGCCGCAGCTCCGCCCTCTCCGGCTCGGCTTCGCGACGAGCTCTGCCTGTCCCAGAGACGTGCACTCCAACCCTCCCTGTTCCTGGCTCTGGCGGCCCGATGTTATGCCGCGCCACCACGGGAGCTCCGGCGCGGCCAAATCCTAGCGGCGCAGCCTGGCGCCATCACGCCCGCGCCGGCTTCCCTGTTGCCTCGCCGGGCCACCGCGCCATTGTTGGCGGGTTCTGCCGCCGCTGTGTCCGCCTACGCGGCGCACGGAGCAACCAAAGGCATAGCCGGAGGGGCAGCCCATGCGCCAGCACCGTCTCCTTCCTCCCGTGCACGGTACGTCCTTCAGTTCCTGCTTCCTTGGCCCTTCATGTCCTGCGCCTTTCAGGTGCTCGATGGAATGCCAAGACAAAAAAATCCTACCTATGCAGCCGTTCGCCGTCCCTGACCATTCAGACCACCTGTTTTCTTCTATGGTACAATGGTTCACATGTGGATGAGTTACTGGAACCAGGTACATTTACAGATTGATTGGTTTCGGCAAATATTTTCTCAATTTATCAGTTTCGTACAGGATGCCCTTCCTTCTTACTCGAACTATTCACTTTTTCTGATCTCTGTAATTTTCCTGATCTCCCTCTTTAAATTTGCAGGAGCATAATAGGCCGAGAGGTGAAGATGTCAACATCCATTGGCCACAGAAGACATGGCGGTAAATGCTATCCCTTTGCTGTGTTACGTCCTTCGATCACCTATTAAAAAGTTTACTTGCTTAATTAATCTACATGTTGATCCAACCTTGCCCGGCGTAATCCTGAAAGGGCTAATCCTTTAAATTTATATTGATCACCTCATCCAGTAAACCACACTCTGAAAACAAAACACTGACAATACTATATTCAAATTGTTATATCAGGATTTTGAGTGATTCCTCACGGGACTAATGGCTTCTTTGTGGCAATCAAGCTCTTGCATTCCATGCTAAAAAAGATTCAGAACTCTTTGTTTCCCCTTACTGCTGCTTCATACTTTAGTGCCATATTCTTTATTTTATTTCCATATTTCATTCCTACAATCATCACGGGTTACTTAGCTTATGACACAAATCTCAACATACATAATGATAATTCTCATGACGCAGCTCGCTAAAATAGTTACGGAATAGAGGTGTTAGAACAAATCTAGGATGCTACCTAATTATGTTGACCTCATTATCTATATATAAATGTCTTAACCATTTTTGGGGCAATGTGTGTTAATCTTTTCCTTTTGCTTCATATGAAACTCAGGTACATAGCAAAGTGTGTGATGTCCTACTTTATGGTCTGCAGACTGCCCCCATAACCCCCCCCCCCGCCCCACACACGCACACACAAAAAAAAATGGTGCCTTCTGTTCCCCTTTAGTTTGTTATAAATAAGTTGTTGTATTCTTCATCTAACATTTACCTGGATGTTCTTTTTTTTTTCTGAAGTACTCCTATCACATTTCTCATTTGTATTGATGGATGTCCTACCACCAGTCTCAATTCCTAATTAATTGTTGATTCAACAGCAAAAATGTTATACGATGCCTTCTTTGTTACTTTCGCTTGCTAATGGTTGAATTGGTACATACCTCATCATTTATCACACAAATTTTATTTCGAAAGCCTTAGAAGATTGCCAAAATGAGCAATAATATGGCAATTTAGCCACTCTACAAAGAGTGATATATTTTGTATGTGCATTTTTTTTCTTGCTGGTTGTGCTGAACGGCTGTGATGACCCTTGCATAGCAGCTGGACGTTTCTGCAAAACAAGGCAATCTGATCCGGCGATCCCTCATCCGGTTCAATTTAGTTAATTTAGGTACATAGAAAATCTTTATTTACTGTGCAACTCCACATCATCGTTCAGTTTGTTGTTAAACCATGAAGCATTTGTCATTTTTAGTTGTCTCCTCACCTCACAATACGTCCTGGGCAAGATAACTCGGAAATGTTGTGCAGCAAGCTAAGACTATCTACCTTTAACTCATTTACAGGTAACCTTCTAAGAATATATTGTTGTTTTGCACTAAAATCTGCTCTCTTTTCACATAACATGCCTTCATGCCATGATGGGTGACCACACATGTGTCTAACATTGGGCTTTGTCAGAAGTCTATTTTTCATTCATTCTTCAGTATATTATGCTTACAACAGCCATGTAACTTAAGCTTTTATGATACTTCGGCATCTTAATCAACAACTACGATATACTTGCATGTAATGATATTAGCCCATTGCTTTTCTCGCGCGTTGCGCGGGGGTACTGGCTAGTTGTATAGTACAGTACTAGTACCCACCAATCCAAATCGCTAGAACACGACGAAAACGTATTTACATCCGAGCCGCTCGACCTCATTGCTGGGCCGCAAGCCCATGACCACAGTGTGGAATGGAGGAAGTAGCTGCTGGTCTAGGTGGGCTTTCATGGACCATATTTATGAGTGCTACTAGGCGGCCTTTTGTTTGGTCCATATGGTCCGACGAACTACCCTACCACTTGCTCCCTCCTCGCCAGTTCGCTCCGCTGCGGCGGGGAGGAGACCATGGCGACGGCGGATTCACCTTCATAGCGCACGTAAGTTCGCTCCATTTCCTCTTTCTCTCCGGGCCTGGTTATGCATCGCCCGCCGGGATGCCTTTCTTGTTTTTCGCCTTCCACTATTTTTCTGTATTTCTGTTGGGCTAGGGTTTGGTAGGCTTCTAAGTTAGTCGAGGCGCGCGACGGGAAATGCCGAATGCTTATACATTTGGTTTTGGTAGGGAAAACCGAAAGGGGCATTGGTTGAAATCTTTTGGCACATGACGGAGAGAACTGGAGGGGTGCTGAATCTGTGAGGGAAAAATAGGGGAATGAAGTAGCGGATGCTGATGTGAGAACATAAGTTCTGATTGTGGAGTTTTACTTAAAATTTCTCTAGTCATAATTTCTTAAACAAATCGAGATAAATATTGAGAGTAGAGTAATTTCTTCTGAGTTTTGTTCTTTATAACCCTTGAAAGGACCAAGTATGGTAGGAAAAAAAACTTCAGTTTGTTTAGTGGATTCTTTGAGAAATGAAAAACTAAAGCTTGTAGGTAATTTAACCCTTTCATAGATTTCATGTTATTTGATTGAGTCTATGTAACTCTGATTTATAGTGTTATTGTTTAATTCAATAAATCTTTGCATGCATTTTGCAGGAGTGTTTTTGCTGCTTTGCAAAAAGGATCTGTGTCGTAATAAGCTTTTTTTTACAAACACAAGCTGGATTGTGGTTAGTATGGCCTCTAAGAGAAGCACTCGAATGCGGGCAAAAAAGGAAGAATGCATCATGAACTCCCTCCCAAGCGAACTCATTGAGCAGGTGTTTATTAGGCTCTCAGCTAGTTGTTTGCTGCGGTGCATTGGTGTCTGCAAGATGTGGCGCATCATCATCCGAGATTCACAGTTTGCCATGGCACACCTCGAGCATGTACCACCCTGTACGCTCCTGTTCTCCCCAAAAGGGTCGATTTCAGGCACGCTGTGCCCCAGTGATGCTGTTATCTTCGACGAAGCCTGGTCACCGTTGACATGGGCGGCACCAGTGATTGGGCCGGATGATCTCCTCTGTGGTACATGCAATGGGCTTCTTTGCTTACACACGCCTACATCAACTCTCAAGATAGCCAACCTTGCAACTGGTGAATGTCTGCATCTAAAGAAGCCTACAAAAAGCTTAAAAGATGACCACTTTTCTTTCTACAGATTTGGATTTCACCCAGCCACTAAAGAATACAAGGTTATACATTTTTGTCAGGAGATTGGTCCCTTTACTGATGGCAGATTTAATGTCATTCAAGTTTACTGAGAAATGGAAAGATATCGTAACTCCAGAAGCTCTAAGTTTGAACTGTGTGAAAAAATCCGGAGTAGTTATTGTTGATGGTATAATGTATTGGCTTATTGAAGATGGGGGATCTAATTGGAATCCTGCAGTTATGTCCTTTGATCTTGTGGAAGGAAGTTTTGCACAGATACAGCTGCCAGCGGTTGAGCTTGAAGATTGGGCATTTGGTGATGGCCGTAATTACTGGGTCACAGAGATCAACGGGAAGGTATGTGTATCAATTGCTCACAGTTTGGACAGAATGCTTATTTGTGAGCTGCAGGTCTGGGCATTGAATGGAGCTGTAGATCAAAGGTCGAGCCATATGTACAGTATTCAGCTTTCATCAAATTTTGCCCTAGGACTACATTTTGTTTATGGAGATAAGATCTTGATTCAACATCGTGATAGTAACTTGTATTCTTATGAATTGCTTGGGAAGAACTTTGAGATTGAATCTAGCAAGATGGTTAAGCTGTTAGATTTGAATCCCCGTGGAGAGGATGACATGCAATTATATACCTGTGTGAAGTCACTTGTGCGTTTAGATTTATATGCAAAGGCTGCTGTTGTGCATAGCCCAAAGAGGCAGGGGGGATGGAAACTGAAAAAATGGAAAGCATGGCAGTATAAGGTTTTCGACCTAGAGAAAACGTGGAGAAAAATTTATCAATTAGAGAAGGCTTGTATGCTGGTATGTTTGCTAAAATATCATTGCCCTTGACAAATACCTGTTATGCTTGAATACATTACAAGTTGCTAAATTGCCACATTTTAGGAATTTACACAACATGTGCGCACAAAATATGAGGAATTTGCATGATGTTTGCCAGATTAGGTGATTCGGCAGCGTGTAAGCATGGAAATTGATCAGATCATGCAACATCTGCCAGATTGTCCAGATCCGGTAATGGTATACTGAAACAAAGATGGAAATTATCTCATTTTCTTATTTTGTCTTTAATGGTTTCTATTGATTTAAAGACTGGGGACATGCATAGGTTTTAACAAATGTCTTGCCTGAGTGTCCAGCTTCCAACTCCTGAACGTCGGCTTAATTGGGTGGGGAGGACGGAGAACATAAAGAAGTTAATAGTGTATCATGATGGAGTAAATGACAGAATCAAGGTGTTGCGTGCTGGCATGTTGTATCGAGTATTATTAGCACTTTTTATTTATGCCAACAAATTGACAAAGCTGACGACCCTATAGGCCTTTGAGCACGCACTGGAAGACATAAGTAGCATGCTGAGTAGAGAAGTTCAGAATTTCTGATGGTTTTTGTCAGGTAATAAAGGTTTACGTATTTTTAAGTTATCTTTTCTCATTTATGCCTTGATGTCATTTGCCATAGGCGAGATACTTATTCTCTCAAAACACAAGCAGATATTTTTGTTATCTCCTCTCATAGCAGCAATGAGTTAAAATGTGCCCCCCTCCCCTTCTTCCCTCCATGATTATAGCTTGCTCCATTCTCTTTGCTGTGCAGTTTTGCTGAATTGAAATCAGTCTAGTTTCTGTTTATTGAACTCTTTATTTAATGATTCATATATTATGGATGGTAACCAATTTCTAAGAAAATGCACTGAAAATTTCTGAACTAAACTTTCATGTGTGCACATGTTTTGGTCTTAACTATTGTTCTTCAGTTTCCATAAAAGAAAGTCTTCTTTTCTTCTCATGTTTGAATAACCTGTTTTTATCTGCATCTATATTCAAATATACATTGAATCATTGCGCATACTTTGTGCAAATAAGACACTGTCTTTGGGTTTATTTAAATGAAATGTACAGCTGGGTAAATAATAGCATGCTAATTCTAATTTTTATAAGAGAAGAACATGCTTCCTCAAAATATATCTACACCTGAAGTTTGAAGAGATTGTGCATTGGTGTTATATGCCCTTTGTTCTTAGGATAGAAACAAGAAAGGTCACATATTTTGAGGATATAGCTGCTAGATGCATGATGGCATAATAGTTATTTCTCGTTTTTTTAGTTCTGTCTTTCAGGACATGGTAACACCAAACAACTTCTTGATTCGGTGTTCAATCTATATTCATGTTTCGCAGGCCAAGCTTAAATGTTCAATCGGCGATATCCTGCAACTGCAGAGTCTTGGTGATGGATGATGAACGCGAAGACTGGACAGCTTCCTGAAAATTTCTAGCCTTTTTGTCTCTTGTGTTTATCTTGCTATGTTTCTTTTATTCAGGGATTACTTGGCTCTTGCGTGTGGATGGTAAACCAATGATCCTGTGGCTTCCTTATGTTTTTAAGCACTCTTTTCTTCAGGGATTATTAGCTCTTGCCTGTGATGGGTTGTAAACCAATGATCCTGTGGCTTATGTTTTTAAGCAGTTTAATGTAGATGGATTATGAACGCAAAGACTGAACAGCTTCTTGAAATTCTAGCCTTTTGTGCCTCCTGCGTTACTCTTGCTACGTTTTCTTTTCTTCAGGGATTTACTTAGCTCTTGTCTGTGGATTGTAAACCAACGATACCGTCCCGTGGCTTCCTTATGTTTTTAAGCACTGTCAAATAGTTCTTTCGAGCTTTCTGCTATGAAAATTCTTTCCTTGCTCTTCTGTCTGCTACTCATCGGTTTTGTGTTTTTGTTTTTTATTTTATTTTTCTGTTTTATATCAATATATTAATATATATATTGATTCCCCTTCTATATGCTATCGGCATGTTTTTTAGATTTAAAAGTTGCTCCACAACAAATTAAGTAAAAAATTATTAGATAGTAAAAACTTATATGTATAAGTTATATTATTCATAAAATTATTATACAAATATTGTGCTATGAGGGCGTTGACGGCCTAATGCTGGAGATGCCAGTGATCTCTCCCGCGGCAATGAGGGCGTTGACGTCGTAGCTGCCCTCGTACGAGTACACCGACTCCATGTCGCAGAACGCCTGCACAAATTGCATATGTCCGGCACATACGTACATATGCATCACATACAATAGAACGGATCAGATCCAATTTCCCTTCCAACAAGCAACTACTGTAGAAGACTGCGTTAACTTCATCAGCTATGGAAGGAAAAATGTTACACGAGGGCGACCGACCTTCCCAACATGGAAATCGGTGACGATGCCGTAGCCGCTGAGGAGCTCCCTGCCAAGAGCCGCCGTCTCCCGCGCCTGTTTTGTGATCCAGGCCTGCACAATCGACGGAGTGGGTGTAATGTCTGACTAATGACCTTGCCAAGGCTAGCCTAGCCTGAGGTCATCTTGCCGGTGTCGTGCAGCTTGCAGAGTCGCCAGCCGAGGACCGACATCTGTACTGTTCGCTGGGTTGATAAGTACTGTTGGCTAATTTGTTGTGAGAGAAAAATATTGTTCATTGACTAAAAAAGTACGGCTTATAAATCAAGCGAACAAGGCGATGGCTTTGGATGTTCCCAAGCATCCTCATGAGCTTCTCCTGGTTCAGCTGGAACGCGGCTAACGGCGCACCAAACTGCTTCCTCTCTTGCAGGTACCTGACCGCGGTACACGCAGTACACCGACGTCATAAAATGAACCACGTATATATATATATATATATATATATATATATATATATGAACTACTCCCTTCGTCTAAATTATAGTTTACCTCTAACTTTAATCAAATTTTCTAAAAAGAATATACACTTAGGCCCGTTCGCTTCGTTGAAAAAACAAGTTGAAACACTGTTCCGGCAGATTTGTTGTGAAAAAAAACTATTCCGGCTGAAAAAAATAAGCTGAAAAGTACGGATTATAAAGTAAAAATGAACAGTTGGTTCTCGAATTTAGCTCGGATATGACGTATAGATCTCCAAAGTTCCAAAATGCACATCCAGGTTCTGCCTTCGCACACAAATTTCCTTCAGTTTTTGGATTTCTTTCATGCACAAAGCGGTTTGGTTGTGGGGGGTCCCACATATTGGTGCATGAAGTGCCAAGGGTGATGGAAACTTCTCTATATTATATATAATAGAGAAATGTACTCAAAAGATACGTGGGTGAGTGGGGTCAGTTTGTACCTTAGGCACGCGTCGTAGACCCCCATGGCAATGCCGATGCTGACCCAGGCCACCATGATGCGCGCCATGGACAGGGCCTGCAACCCATGCATGCATGAAAAGAACAGCAACATGCACAAATTTATTTGACTTGGATCTCCAGCTGTGGGTTCTCAATAAGCTGATCATATATATAAGCTGGACATCGATCAACACCGTCTACCATTCAAATTTTGTTACGTACGTCCACGAGATCCTGAAAGGAGTTGGCGCCGGGCAAGCGGTCGTCGTCGGGGACGAAGACGTTCTCCAGCTGGATGTTGCAGTTCTGGACGACCCTCAGCGACACCTTGTTCTCGATCTTGCTGATCTTCAGGCCGGGGCTCCCACCATGGACAATGAACCTGCAAATTAAACAATGTTTGGTCCAGTCAACAGAAACATCTATCTGAGATGCATAGTTGCCTACGTATATGTACGTGACCAGTGTAGTATGCTGATAAACCAAGCATGGAGACGCCAAATAAGGACATTTATGAAATCTGATGATGCAATAGGTCCAGCGCTAGTGTATGCTGATAAAAGATAAACATATTTTCCGGCCTAGTTACCCGTTGATCTGGTTGGTGCTGGTATTCCGTGCAAGTACGACGAACACGTCGGCGAAGCTACTGTTCGCCGGCCAGCGTTTCTGACCGTTAAGGACCCACCGTACCCTCCAGGGACCTACGGCATAAAACCAATGGATTAAGTTGGGGACCTACGGCATAAGACCAATGGATAAGTTAGCGATTATGGTAAGTTTCTATTTTTGTTCAAAGAAAAATGCATACTACTAAATATTAGTAAGCAACTAAGCATCCACTATTAGTTAGCGATTATCATAAATACTTGGCAAAAGTATGTTCTTTCACAAAATTTGTGTGTGTGTGTATATATATATATATATATATATATATATATATATATATATATATATATATATATATATATATATATATATATATATATATATATATATATAACTACCTTCCCAGCCGTGGTACTAAGAGTACTCGCATCACTACCGTGGTCCGGCTCTGACAATGCCTGAAAAGTGAGAAATTAGATATGCATAGTAGGACACCGAGCCAAATGGCAATGAAAGGCTTCCCTCTACACTTACATAGACCCAAACTTTGTGCATTTTGTTCAATGACGGTAAATATTTCTTCTTCTGTGCTTCTGAACCTAGTTGTGCTGCTTGAACATATGCAAAGATGTTAATAGTTGTTTGGTACGTATAGAGCTATCGGCATCAAATAACTAACAATTGAATGGTTAAGTTTTACAATGAACTCTAATCTAACAAGAAAGTAGATCATTTATGATGGTCAAGAAATTTTATGCCCGATCATTCATAAAATGTGTCAGTTGTACTATTTCACATGACGTGCCCATTATATTATTTGCAAAATTTTGTTATTGTTTGTATACCCTTATGTTACAATTAACAAGAATTGTGTCATTTCATATGCTTTCTATAACTACAAAAAGTAGGGAATGATAAATTATTGATTGGATGATAACCAAATCAAATAATGTCTCTTTTTGCATCTAAGTCTCTCTAATTTGTAACACATCAAACTCCAACCAATGCATAACTAGCTCCACCTACATAGGTGCCAAGCCAGCGAGGCTCCCCATATGCACATGCACACCTAAAACTAAGGCACCAATAGAGCTAGTTCTTTCTTAAAATAAAATTGAGAAAAATTTCCTATTCAACATTACTAAAATGAGGGCTCCCTTCCATGGCCCTAAACACTTTGAATTTCTTTATTTGACACTATATTTATATTGTATTCTCTATTTCATACTATGTCTCTTTTCAGTAGTAATGGTGTTAAGTGGATGGTGAAACAACCATTAGGCCCCTCAGCATGACCAAAGTTATATGCACATGACCAAGGTCCCAAGGCAGTTTTGTTATCTAAATTTCATTAGAAATAGGGCATTCATAAGTACTGTTTGTATCTTATTTAGTCATTTAGGGCATTGGTTTGATCTTGCTTTTTGCTTGGTTTCATCTACTCTGAGAATTGTATTGATCAACTGGACTGCTTTCTATTGATCAAGACATGTACATATATAGATTACATCATGGCCTTTGGCCAAGCCTGTACAGGCGCGGACATTACACGCGAGCGGGCGAGCGCACAGAGCGGGAGCGTGGACGCCGTGGAGACCGAGTGAATCAGTTGGAGTCGCGGTGAGTGCGCGCGGAGCCGCGGCGAGTGCGCGCTGGGCGGCTTTAGCCGTTGCAGAGCTGTTTCCGCTGACATCCCCCCGCAGTCTCGACGTCTGGCGCGGTGACGGAGAGGCTGTCTCTGAAGTCGAAGAACAGCGCTGAAGGTAGCCCTTTGGTGAATACATCAGCGACTTGGCGCACACTGGGAACGTGCGTGATGCGTAGCTCTCCAATGGCCACTTTTTCCCGAACGAAGTGGATGTCTAGCTCAATATGCTTGGTTCGCCGGTGGTGGACAGGGTTCATGGACATGTAAACTGAAGATATGTTGTCACAGAAGGCCACAATCGCTGAGGGAACCTTGCAGAGGAGCTCACCAAGAAGATGTCGAAGCCAAGAGCACTCGGAGACGGCGTTGGCGATGGCGCGGTACTCAGCTTCGGCGCTCGACCTTGACACCGTGGTTTGTCGTTTGGATGACCACGAGATGAGTGAATTGCCGAGGAAGACGCAGAATCCTGAAGTCGAACGTTGCGTGTCTGGACAACCGGCCCAGTCGGCGTCGCTGTATGCAGTGATCGTCGGTGAATGAGCTGCGCGCAATTGGATGCCGAGGCTCGTCGTCCCTTTGACATACCGGAGGATGCGTTTCAACATCGTTTGATGCACGTCCCTCGGTGCGTGCATGCGCAAGCACACTTGCTGCACAGCGTACGCAATGTCTGGACGTGTGATCGTCAGATATTGCAGTGCGCCAGCGATGCTTCGGTAAGTGGTGGCGTCGTCGATGAGCTTGCCGTCAGCAGCAGATGCTTTCGGCTTGGTGTCCGCAGGAGTGGCCACGGGGTTGCAGTTGGCCATGCCAGCGCGCTCCAAGAGATCCTCGGCATACGCGGACTGGGAGAGGAAGAAGCTATCTTTGGTACGTCGAACGTTGATGCCGAGGAAGTGTCGAATTGGCCCCATGTCCTTCACGGCAAATGTGTCGTGTAGTCGAGCGATGACATGGCGAAGGAGCGACGCCGAGGATGCCGACAAGATCATGTCATCAACATATAGGAGCAGGTACGCCGTGGACCCGTTGCGGTGGTAGACGAAGAGGGAGGAGTCGGCCTTCGATTGGATGAAGCCCAAGCTGGTGACGTGCCCGACGAAGCGTTCGAACCACGCCCGTGGTGCTTGATGAAGACCATAGAGGGACCACGATAAGAGACAGACATCGTTCGGGCACTGAGGATCGGCGAACCCGGTGGGTTGCTGGCTGTATACCCGTTCGTGAAGGTTGCCGTGGAGGAAGGCGTTGGAGACGTTGAGTTGATGAGCCGGCCAGTTGTACGTCGCCATGAGCGTGAGAACGGCGCGGATCGTGGCCGGCTTGACTACTGGTGAGAATGTCTCGCCGAAATCGACGCCGGGGCGCTGGTTGAACCCACGAACAACCCATCGAGCCTTGTATCGCTCTAGGGTTCTGTCGGGATTCATCTTGTGTTTGAAGACCCATTTGCCGGTGATGACACGAGCGTCGGGTGGTCGTGGCACAAGAGTCCAGGTCTTGTTAGCCTGCAACGCATCAAATTCACATTTCATGGCAGCATACCAGTTGGGGTCCTTGACTGCGTTGCGGATGCTCCGGGGGATCGGGGAGATGGTCGTCGTGGCCACCATGGCGTACTTCGGGTTGGGTTTGTGAATCCCAGCCCAAGCACGAGTGATCATCGGGTGTCCAGGATGGACGTCGTCCTGTGCTTGTGGTGCTGTAGTGGGGATCGCGGACGCCGCAGCCAATGGAGTCGTGTTTGGTGATGCAATGGGCGACGTCGCGGCGGATCCAGGCGCGGGCGCTGGTGGTGATCTGGGTTCCGACGTTGAAGATGAGCCCCTGTAGGCACCATTGGGCATCGGTGCATGGATGTGTCGCGCTGTGCGCGCGCACCACGGTTGTTGTGGTAGATCGATGTCGAGGCGAGGCGGCGATGGCGGCGGACTCAGGCTACGACGCGCAGCAGTCGCGGCCGGGCCCGGGTGCATGAGATGCGGATCATCTGCCACTGGTGACGATGAGGCAGCGGCGGGCGTGGTGGAGTCGTGGAGAGGGTAGACAGACTCGTCGAAGACCACGTGACGCGACGTGATGACCCGACCCGTCTCTAGCTCGTAGCAACGATAGCCGCGGTGGTCAGCCGGATACCCGATGAAGACACATGTTGTGGATCGCGTGGCGAGCTTGTGAGGCAACGTGGCGATCATGTTGGGGAAGCAGAGGCAGCCGAAGACGCGTAGATCGTGGTACGAAGGCGCGACGCCGAAGAGCATGGTGTACGGTGTCGTGGCGCCTGTGACGCGGCATGGATGTCGATTGATCAGGTAAGTCCTCGTGGCCAGCTCTTCGGCCCAGAACGTCAGTGGTGCTGCACTGTGAATTAACATTGTGCGAATACAGTCGTTAACAGTTCCTAGGATTCTCTTGGCCTTCCCGTTCTGCTGTGAAGTGTAGGGGTAGGATAGACGTAGTTGTGCCGAGAGAGGAGAGGAGCAGACGCATGGCGTAAGAGTCATACTCCCATCCATTGTCTGTCTGGAAGGCGACGATGGGCAAACGGAATTGAGTGTGGACATAGGAAATAAAGGAACAAACAGTGGGAAGAACATCGGATTTATTTCGAAGTGAAATTGTCCATAAGTAATGACTATAATCATCAAGAAAAACGACATAGTACTTATAACCAGAATGACTAAGAACTGGAGACATCCATACGTCTGAATGAACTAGCTGAAAAGGAAAAAATGTTCGTGATGCAGAGTCAGCGAAGGGAAGCCGAACATGTTTCCCCAGCCGGCAAGAAGAGCATGAATGAGCATCAGATTTATTACATTGAAAAGGAAAAGTTTGTAAATTTTGAGAAGTGATGGGGTGTCCGGGGTGTCCCAGCCACTGATGCCACAGAGATGTTGCCGATGAAGCAGTGAATGCTTGGTGTTGTGGAAGGCGGATGGGGTAGAGGTCGCTGCTGCTTTCACATCGGAGCATCTCCGCCCTGGTAGGAAGATCTTTAATAGAGAAACCAGAGGGGTCAAACTCGATTGAAACATTGTTGTCATGAGTTAAGCGGCGAACACTGATCAAGTTCTTGACGAGGTTAGGGGAAATAAGAACATCATTTAATCGGAGAGGGGAGGTGGCAGTAGGAATGAATGTTTGTGCTTGATGTGTGACCGGCATATGAGCACCATTGCCTACTGTGATAGTAGAAGAGGATGATCGCAGGGAAGAAGGAGAGAAGTTACCAGGAGATGACGACATGTGCGATGACACGCCAGTATCAAAGTACCACTCAGACACGCTCGGAGGATGGTGCGGGACGCTTGCGGACTGGAGTGCGGCGTAGAGGGCACTGGTGTCGAAGGGGCCGCCAGGCGAAGGTGCGGACGGATGCATCACCGTCATGGCCTGCTGCGGCTAGAATGGCGGACGAGGTCCTAGAATGCCGGCTTCGGGGGCATGGAAGGGCATGGGCCAGGCTTGCACCATGCCTTGCCAGGGGTTGTAGCCCATGGTCCATGGCGCGGACTGCGCGCTTGAGTTGTTGGAGCGCGGCGCGCCGCCGTTGCCGCGACCTCGGCCACAGCGCCGATCTTGGCAATTGTTGGAACGGTTGTTGCCGTCGTTGTTGGATCGAGGCGTTGTGGAGGAAGAAGACCCGTCCTTGTGGTCGGTGGTCGCCGAGCTGGAGGAGCCGCTGGGGTTGTCGCCGTGAGTCACGGCGAGGGCCTGGCCAGCTTCGGCGTTGGCGTCGTGCTGAGCGCTGAGCTCCTCGAGGATGAGGAAGGAGCGGGCACTCTGGAAGGAGTGCAGTGGGTACTTGGACGTGATCACCGGCTTGACGTAGCGGTATCGGGGATTGAGGCCGCGGAGGAGATTGAGCACCTGGCTCGGCTCGAAGACCGGATGGCTGATGTCGCGCAGCTGATCCGCGAGCCGCTTCAGCTTGGTGCAGTAGTCGTTCATGGACATGTCGCCTTGCTGTAGGGTGCGCAGCTCGATCTCGAGATACACGGCGCGCTGCAGCTTGTTGTCCTGGAACAACCCTTCGACGACGTGCCACAGGGAGAAAGCGTCGTGGCGATCGCGGCGAACAACGTCGAAAACGCCTTTGGAGACGGTGACGAGGATCCAGTTGACGACGCAGGAATCAACCCTGCGCCACTCGCCATCGCGGTCCTGGGACGGAGTAGGAGAACGAACATGGCCCTCAAGACCGAATTTGCCGAGGGTGGAATCGAAGGAGTGGCGCCACTGGCCGTAGTTGCCTTCGTCCATGTCAAGGATGACAGGGACGTGGTGGCGGATGGAGATGCCCTGGATCGCAGAAGCGGCAGCTGGGGCGACGGAGAAGTCGCCATCGGAAGAGGAGTCGGAGTGGTGGGAGGAGGGTGCCATTGGAGCAGCGGAAGTAGATGTGGCGAAGGGATACTCTGTGATAACCGTGGACGATGATACCATGTAGAATTGTATTGATCAACTGGACTGCTTTCTATTGATCAAGACATGTACATATATAGATTACATCATGGCCTTTGGCCAAGCCTGTACAGGCGCAGACGTTACACGCGAGCGGGCGAGTGCACAGAGCGGGAGCGTGGGCGCCGTGGAGACCGGATCGCGTGGGCGCCGTGGAGATCGAGTGAATCAGTTGGAGTCGCGGTGAGTGCGCGCGGAGCCGCGGCGAGTGCGCGCTGGGCGGCTTTAGCCGTTGCAGAGCTGTTTCCGCTGACATACTCATTCAAATTTTAGCTTTTCTTTTTTTTAGTAAAAAATTCTCATATTTACTTGGGCTTATAAGCAATACAAGCAGGCACCCAAAATCCCTTCGAAAACAGAACATGAGAGAAGGCAAAGAAAAGGTTCTTTGATACAACACTAATCAACACCTACATGTGGAGTAGTGCTGCCACTTATATACTACATAAGATAATCTACCTCTCATCTTTTTTGTACTACCATTTACCACCAATAATCTCGATCCACCATTATCAGTTCAGTTCTTACAACAATTAGTACCAAGAAACAAATTAAATGAACACAGTCAGGGAGAGTGTCAGTCACTACGAGGCTTCCAATGTCTTGCAGATGCACATGGTAAAGAAGCAGAGCTAGATGGCTAAAGGGCAAGCCTGCTGACGAGACTCAAACATAAGGTTTTGGCACCACTTATTGTACCATATGATCGAGCAGCCTATAGAGTCTAAAAGCATTGAGGGCCAATAGGTTAATGTGGGACTAAATGCTTTTGCAGCTTGGATGAGTATGATTACTATTGTGAAAAACTGACATAAGGTCAACCGTTATGAGTAAATTCATAATGACTCTAGTGCTTTTGGTGTTTGGTTTATCTTTTGTGCCCACCGTTATGTTTTGTGTGCCCACCTGTACCTAAATCAATTACTTTAACTGACTTCATCTGTCAACTTAGATATACTTTCAAGAATTTTCGTGTCCACTATCGCTATATTTGACAATTTTTTTGGGCTCTAAAATAATCAAACGGATTCTATGGTATATATAATAAAGCAACACATACCGATGGTAAGCATGATAAGACATGACTGAACTAGGCAAAATGAGGCGATGCTTGCATCCACACGAGCAATCTCTGAAATGCACATAGCATAAGCAGTTGTCGATACCCCAGAACATCCATAGCCCTGAAATAGTAGCAAACTAAAACATTAACTGGTTTCCACACATAAGCTGAGTGTGCAAGTTTTTCTTGTATTCAAAAGGTGTAATTCGCACTATAAAAAAGGAAATGTGTTCAAGGTGATGCCAACACATAGGCCACTTTGGATTCACTAATTAATTGGAAATAACATTACTTTCCTAGGAATGATATATATTAATGCAACAAACATGAAACATATTTGAATCTAGTTTAATGTTGTAGATGTTCATGCATTTTTCTATGAATTTGATCAAAGTTTGAGAAATTTGGCTATAAAGCTAGAATGAGTTACAATTTGGAATGGAGATACTACAAGATTTGACTTTTTTCTGTTAATGGTGCACATATATGTCCTATCTATTTTCAATAACTAGACGTTAATACCATTGGGAATTTTTGGCCCAAATTAAAAAAAAATACTAAAGCGACTTCATAACTTGCCCATGTTTCTAAATGCCAATATGTCTATCATGTACTACCTCCGTCCTGAAAAGAATGCAACTATGGGTTGCGTGCCACGAAAAGTAGTTTACGTTTGACCAAGTTTTTAGTGAATAATATTCACGGTTATGCCTTTAAACTAATTTATTATGAAAATACATTTTGTAATTAATCTAATGGCATTTATTTGGTATCATAAACATTTATGCTTTTTTATCTATAATTGGTCAAACTTAATGTAGTAAAACGTGACACTGTGCTAGAATTGCATTCTTTTGGGGACGGAGGTAATATCATTTTTCCTTGACCAAGGCTCTTATTGCTAAACTAGCACACATACATCATGATTATGCACATCTATATATCTAAATTATGTATGAATGATGGCATTGTTTTGTTCCATGATTCTATATAAAAAAATGCTGAATTTTTTAAGTATAAAATTAAATCTTAAGAACATATTGAGTCATGAGCATAATTAGCAAATTTTGATAAAAGGGTGGCACCTTGTTTTTCTAAGCAATAACACTCAAGTGTTTAATGCAGTGTTTCACTAATTTTAGTATTCCATCTTTCAGTTGAATGGTGATGCCAATAGTTTCCCATTTGTTTAGCTCCCACAAAGTCACAACATTTCTTTCCTTACAAGCATCTCCGAGGCATAATTTTATCATGCATTATCTCTTCTAATTGATCTAGTCATCTAATCCAACACCCTCAACCAACATATAGCATGCATGAAAACCACCAACAAGTGTCCATCTAGCAATCTTGCTAATGCAACAAGATTCTCAACTCCCAAGTCACATATTGGTGCGAGCATCCATGCATGTACCAAAAGAATTAGTGTCCATAATTTCAGCAGTACTTCTAAGTCCCATAAGTGGATACTTGAAGTATGATTGGAAAATTTGGGATCAAAATTAGCAAAGCTACATCACCTGTGTATGCATTATGGGTCTGTATTATCATATATTTGCTCGTGTTAGGTTGCCAGCACAGACTCTTATGCAGGCTTAGCAGTGCTCAAAGCAAACCTAATGTTGAATTAGCTAGTACGCTAGTTTCGGCTGAATTGGCTTATAAGCCATGGCTGAAAGTACTGCTGACTGGTTTGGTGTGAGAGAAAAATATTGTTCGTTGGCTGATAAGCCGAGGCTTATAAGCCGAATACAGGCTGCCGAACAGGCTGTCAGTGGTTTGCACGAGTCAACGCGCAGACAAAAAAAAATATTCTCATCCCAATATATACCTCAACTAGAAATATGAGACCTTAACTAAAACATGGCGGTGACTACGTGTACCATAAGTAAACAACCAAGCATATTTTTTTCAAATACGCCTTGCATATACATGCATAACAACGAAATATCAAGACAATGCATACGTTTATGCTAGCTTATGTTATACCGAATAAGATCTAATGTAGACTAAGACTAATACAATCAACCAATCAAACCCTATATATCGTCAACTCCTACACAATCTTCTATCCCCATCTTAGGCCTTCTCAATCATTTGTTCTTTTGCTTCACTCCTCATTTTTCTGGTCAATTCAGATAATTAAGTGGATGATCACATTCTTAGTAATGCGAAGAGATTTTGTGTTGTACACACACATTACACAGTATGATAATTACAAAACATGAATATATATGCATATGCCCCGCAAAAAACATTTTTACATACCTTGATGGTGCCACCAGTGAATCCAGGAGAACCTAACTTGGGGATGAGATGGTATGGGAACTCCGCTGTCTCCCAGTACTGTCAAGGTATATCGAACAAAAGAAGAACAAGTTAAAGCTAATAATCGGCATGCATCAATACTTGTTTTTCCAAATTAGCGTCATGAACCAACATTCAACTATAGAAATAAAAAATATGCATATATACTAACTTGACTATGTGTACAAGCTGGCCAACCTTTGTTATTATTGGAGCAACTTCTTTCTCCATAAACTGCCGAATCTTGACTCGTAATTTCTTCTCCGTCGTCAGGAGCTCGTCAAGCCGGTAGTAGTCTGAAACTAGAAACCATACAAAATAATGTCAATGATGAGTCATTATAGATTCTCATGGAAATGTGGAAAATATTCAAAAATATTACTTGGACGGGTCCAAAATAAAACTCATCTCACAGCCATTTCTTTATATGTTAGCTAGACACACTTGCACGTAAATAAATGAACACATACAAATTAAACCACATAGTAAAGCTCTAGATGACACTTACGTGCATGGTGTTGAAAGATGCTTTCAACATTAAATCAATCATCATGTTCATGCGCTATTTCTATCAATTTCTCATATGAGATTAGTCTTTTATTTTATATAGCATTTATTATGGACTCATATGAGACTAGTCTTTTATTTCATCTAGCATTTATTATGGACCTTACCACTTAATTGAAATAATGTTGCCCAAGCCTAACTAAATCTAACAAGTTAGCTACCCATATGTCACCATGCAACAAATTGTCCCTAACTCCCACACCTCTTTTCCATCCCTTGGTTCATTATCACTCACCCATTTTGGAGCTGAAAAACTTTCACGGGTGTTATACCACTCATGTCATGGTCCGACTGACTGAACTCGCCTATGAGCATCACGACTTGGCACACGCATGTGTAGGTAACCTTTCACATTTTTTAACCTCAAATATAGACAATAGCCACTGATTAGGATGGATCAATCTCCAGTTAATTTCTCATACGACTTTAACCTAGCTTTTATTGTACCTATCATATATTATGGGCCTTAAGAATTTAAACGAAATAAGGTTAGGCCAAGCCCAATTAAAGGCCTGTTTGAGATAGCTCTAAGTGCTCTAGATCCACCAAAATCAGCTCTGGATCCCTTTTTTTTACCCAAAAACTTCTTCACCATTAAATTTGAAGTCACCGAAAATCTGGATTTGGGAGCCAGATCCATGGATTCAATGAAGCACCTCAAGAGGTGCTCTGTAAAACATAGGATCTGTACCTCCTCATGGAGTTGGGTGGGGGCCCATCCATTACACTAAAAACGGTTCGTTCTATTTTTTTCCATCGTCTTCCTCTTCCTCGCATCACCATCGCCCGCCCGCACTCGCGCCGACGCCATCTAGGTCACACAGGCGAGGTCATCCATGCGGCCATCGCCAGCACCACACCAGCGACCTTGGACACACGCCACCTGCCGCTCGACGGCCACCACGCTGGCAGCCTCGGACGCGCGCTACCCGCCGCTCACTCGTCGCTCTCTCTCACGACCGTGCTCCCTCGCACAGCTCCACCTCCCTCGCGCATGGCCGAGCTCACGGCCGGCAGTCACCCCCACCCTAGCCCCGCCATGGACGCGCGGGAGCTTCAGCTCACCATGGACATGCGGAAGCTCCGCTCCGCCATGGCCACGCGAGAACTCCGGCTAGGAGGCCCCTCTCGATGCTGGCAACACGGGCGCCGCCCCTCCCCTCCCCGGCCGCGCCCCTCCCCTTCCCTCCCCGTCGTCAACATAGTCGCGCTTCGCGCCCACCCCCGCTCGTGCCTTCCTCTTAGGAAGGGATAAAACGCACTGACATGAGGGGCCATGCTGTTGTTGGGTTGTTGTTGGGTTACAATTTGGGCCAGCACAACAGATTCACCAACGAGCTCTCCCAAACACTTGTTTTCAACAATAATTGGATTTTAGATCCACGGTGGAGCTACTTCATGGTGGATTTGGTGCACCAGATCTGGTTTGGGAGAGCTAGAGCTCTCTCAGCCCTTAATCCAACAAGATAGCTAACTAGTTCTATGCGACCACACAACTAATTGTATTTTCTATTGCAAAGCATAGTCATGTCTTGCTATTATCTATACAATAATATTAAGTACAATTTTTTCCTAGGTCCATTGGGCCGCCATCCCTCACTCCCACCCTTCTTTTTCCATCACTCACTTTGACCCTTCTTGCTTTCACAGTCGTCCCTCACTCATATCTCCCTTCTTTCGTCTTTTAATTTGGTTCGTCATCTCTTAATTACTTCACTTTCATGGCCGTTGATCCCTTACTCCTAGCCCTCTTATTCCATCCCTTAGTTTGTCATATCTCACTTAGTTTGGAGTTGCAAAATCTTTACTGGTGTCGCATCACACCAATCATCTGGTGGCTTAGGGCCCGTTTGGTTCCTTAGACCGAATTTTAGTCCCTGTCCCATCGGATGTTTGGACACATGCATGGAGTATTAAATATAGACTAAAAAATAACTAATTACACAGATTGCGACTAATTTGCGAGATGAATTTTTTAAGCCTGTGCTAGCCTAATTAAACCAACCGATCGGTTGGTTGAGTTTTTTGTGGTGGAACCTGCTTACTCGGGTTGAAGTCCTCGACTTGGCACATGTGCTAGCATATTCTAGGATTTAACGGCGCTATGCTTTCAGTGGTAGGCGACGTCCCCGTCGACAACAGGTGCCTGTGGTGATTTCGTAAATCCTAGATCTGCCGGCTCAATCCTTTAGAGGTGTTTATAGGGATAGAGTTTGCATACGTGTGTTCATGGGTGAGTTTGCGTGCATGTAGATGTCTACGTTGTACTTTGTAATTTTTTTTAAAGGTGAGCTCATTATAATTGGCTCAGACAAATCCATGAGGCCATCGATCCAACATTCGCTGATCAACCACAGCAATATATCATCTCCCTCGAGTTCTCCTAAACTTTTTTTCCATATTATATCTTATAATTGGGTGCATCTTTATAAATCCCTCTTAAATATTTTATCCTCCAACAGTTCATCTGTCACAAATAATAGGGCAGACAATATGTGACCCCAAATTTAAGGGAGAGGAAGGGTGATACAGAATGCCACTGAACATATAGGACGTTGGATAGGGAACCGTTGGAGAGTGATTCTTCATTCTTGTTGCATAAGTTTACTTTTGACTCTATAGGGATTGATTGCAGCACTAGTATTGAGTAGACTTAAATTCAAAAAAAGTATTGAGTAGACTTTACACTGGTAACAAATATAATTCTTAAAATACGTACCTGCTGCTGGAAAGGCTGATGCCGCCGGTGTCAGCCGAGGGCAATCGACGGATAGGTCCAATGCCGATCGATGGCCTGAGCTCTGAATGCTTCGTCGTGCCCTGGAAACAGGGTCCTACAATGTCTATGTTCAGGTGTTTGATCCTGTGACTAAAGTTTAGAAGGTGTTACACGAGAGTGCCTGTCGATGTTTTACCACCGATAGCCTGCCACAGGGGTACCGTGGCAGTATAGTTCGGGTTTCGGCGTATGCTGAACTCGATGGTGAACGCAAGAGACAGTCGATTTATCCTGGTTCAGGTCCTCGATCGAAGATCGAGTAACAACCCTACGTCCAGTCGGCGTTTGCCTTTTGCGTTTGATTGATTATGAAGTGTTATGTCGTACCATTGTCCTAGTTCAGGAGCCCTGCCCTCCTTTATATAGTCAGTAGGCCAGAGTCCTAATCGGTTTACAATGAGATTTCCTAATAGGATTACTTAATAGTTCTATTACTAAGATTACATGGGAAGAATCCTAGTTGAACTGATCTTCTCTCTCTTGCGGGGTATCCTGTGGGTCCCGCATCGACAAGCCCCCGAGCACTTCATGGTTGAGCTCTGAAAGTCTCGCTTTGCTCCTTCAAGTCTTGTTAGGTAGGAACAAAATGTTATCCGAGTGCTTTCTGGAGTGAAACCTTGTAGCGCTTCTTGGGACCTTCGAGTGGTGAGTGTTTTGTGAAGAAAAAGAACATCCATCTGGTTGTAGCCCCCGAGCCTCTTGCTATTTGGAACAAGGAGCTGGAGGATCTTGTCTTGAAGTTGCTCTGATTGTTCGTTGAAGTTTTGTCAAAAAGAACTCGAATATGGCTCGTTCCGGGTTCTTTTTGTCATAATGTCTTGAAGTAGTCTGCGTTGAGGAAGTATTTTGGTGACGTGCGCTTTTTCGGAGAAAAAGTGCACTCACTGAGTGTAGCCCCCGAGCCTCTTGCTATTTGGAATAAAAAGTTGGAGGGTCTTGATCCTTTATGTTTGTTTGAAAATCTGTGCTCTGAAGTAATCCCTGAGATTTGAATTTTGTCCTCATCTGAGTAGTTTTTGTGGTATTTTTCCGAAGCGGTCCTTTAGTCCTGGATTAAACCATCATCCGAGTAGTTTCTGTGGTATCTTTCCGAAGCGGTCCTTTAGTCTTGGATTAAACCATCATCCGAGTAGTTTTGTGGTGTGCAGCCTCCGAGCCTATGTCCGGGTTCTTTTTGGGTGGGTGAATTGCACTCACTGAGTGTAGCCCCCGAGCCTCTTGCTTTTGCTTGCAAAAGTTGGAGGGTCCAGATTCCTGTCTTCAAAAAATTCTGGGGCTATGTATCCCGCAGCCTCGTGCTTTCTCCGAGTTCTTTTCTTTTGAAAAAGAAGTCGGTTGAAGAGTCTTGATGCGTTGTCGTCGTTGTAGTTTTGAGTTTCTTGTACTTTTTGTCTTTTGTCTTTGGTTCTGAGCCCCCGGGAGTAGTTGAAATGAGTGCCGGATTCCTTGGCTTAGTGTTGATTAATCTGTGATGCTGTCCGAGCCCCCGAGCGTATACCCGTGTTGTTTTATTCAGGAAGAACTCGGATGCGAGGTCTTGGCGTATTCTTTGATAGTCTGCTGCTGTCAGATGTAGTTGTATGGTGGTGGTTGAGTGTAAATGCTTTTTGTTCACGGGTTGTACTGTGATGGTATATCCTTCCGAATATGCCCGTCTTCGAGCACTGTTTTCCTCTCGCCTGAGTCGTCCATTATTGAGTCCTGTCCTTTCACTGTGTTCTTTGTCAGGCTTATTTCGTCGGTGCTCCTGGTCCATGTGCGCCGCTCCTTTGGTCTATAAATACTGTCCCGGAGTGCTTGTTTTCATCTATTGGATATTCCGTTGAAACCTTCGTGGATATGAGCATGGTAGTTTGTGAAGTAGAGCAGCCCCCGGGCATATTTTGTAGTTCCTGTGTGTCTTGTCGTAGCTGGAGAAAGTCTTGTGATAGGGATTAGAGGTAGGCTAATCCCGCGACAGCATTGTGCCAGGATGTATGTGGTGGTAGTTGGAGGAAGTCTTGTGATGTGGGCTTCGTTTCTTCATCTGGCAGTTCTGGGTTGATCCTCGTCGCCTGTCTTGAGACTGTCCGGTGCAGATCAACACCATATGCAGTATCACATTGGTCTTGGGTAGACAGATGCCCACCGGCCTTCTCTGCTCCAAGTTGTCCTGCCGTGCTGCCGATTTCCGCCTTGGGTGCACTGCGTCTTTCCTTTGAAGAAAACAGTGTAGCTGATGGCGGTTTGTCCTTTCGAGTAGCAATTTGGGACACGTAGTCGTTCCAGAGCCTAGCCGTGTCCGCGTTCCTTTTTGCTACCTTGCTTTTCGTAGTGCCGAGTTCGTTGGGTCTTGTAAGATTTGTAATCTTCTATTTTTGAAGTCGCTTGTAATGTAACGAATCTTATCTTTAAGATTTGTAATCTTCTGCTTGCAATGTAACGAATCTTGTCTTCTGAGTTGTCTTTTATTTTTCTGTT